GCTGGTGCTGGTGGAAGGTAGAGTGGAAGTAGTTCTGGATTCTAGATGCTCAGTGAAACTCCACTGAGCAGAAGGACGAGAAGCCTTTGCACATTAGAGAGCTTTTTCCAGGAGCTGAGGCAAGTGAACAAATGTGCTGAAGACCTGTTGCCGGCCTGGAAGATAACTGCGGTGGCAAGGCAAGGAGTGAGTAGGAAACAGGGAAATCTGACCCACCTCTGGACAGGTGTCATTTAGCCATCACTGATGCTTCTGTTTCAATTCCAACAAGTAGCGCTGGGTCCAAATTCTCTGGATCAACCAGACTGCCCCCCTGAAGGCCAGCAGGCTGCCGGTAGAGAAAGACTAAATGAGCTGCACTGTTGAAGGGGGCTGTTGATATTTTGTCTCTTTTGTAGACAGAGCACTACATCAGTGTTTTGCACGACATGTAAATCTTAACTGTCTGAGATGCTTAAGATGCTTTGATCTAGAACACTAAAATATGGAGGACATAATTCTGAGTAGTTCTGTTTATAGGTCCCTCTTGCTTTCCAGAATAGCTGAGGGAAGCCTCTGTACGTCTCAGAGTGCTACAGAAGAAAGCTCTGCTAAGAGTGATTAGAGAGCTGAAGTTGGAACAGCAGCCATGGGACCAACAGTTGAAGAGCCAGGCTGGCTGAGTGGTGATGCTGAGGGAAACGCAGCATCTCTTTAGCCATGCTCCGGACTACATTTAACACTTGGGAGGAATGAGAGGGATTCCCATGTGTCAGACAGCTTTGCATCAGTTTTACTGCTTTTTTTTTTTTTTTTGTCTTTATGCCAAAATGATCCATTTTGTAGAAACTGTCCTATAAAGAGGAATTTATAATCATCTTTGTGTATTTGAAGTGCTGTTCATCTGAAGCAGATGGCAGCGCCAGCCTCTTCTGCTTCTGTGATCCTCTTGTAAATGGTTCACTCTACAACTATTGCCAGCAACGAACCTGGCACTGAGATATACAGGTTCTTGGAAATAACTTTGCAGAAGTTGTTTTTTTCCAAGGTGAATGATGGTGGTCCTTCCACTTGAATCAGAAACTTTTTTTTGTTTTGTGTCCTCCCCGTCTTTAAGAGCTGTTGCCCTGGCATGGGAGGAGGGATCTTGGCTTCTGTCCCTTGCAGAGTGAATCTGCATTGTCATGGGGAACTGTGGGAGGCTATGGGCACAAGGATTTAGGCATGTGCTGTACCTAACTGAGCAACTGCTTGGTGCAGCTGTTGGCCTGATAACTGACTTGGTGCGATGACTGTTGCAAAGGGAAGGGGAGAACATTGTGCGATGGCTGTCCCATGAGTTCCTGAAACCTCATTCGAATTAGGGGAGGAATGGGTCAGACTTGTACACGTAATCTGAAGTTGTCTGTGGACTGTATCTGTGAGAAGATACCAGTGGTAGCATGTGCTTTTCCTAGCAAGTGGTAGCTTGCGTGCCTCCAGCTTGGCCAATGAAGCATTCCTAAGGTTCATGTCTTTGTTGGCTGGCCCTTTGGCAAATACCTGCCCTAGCGAAAGTGCCAAGCCTTAAACCAAATTTGCCTATATCATCTTTTCTGAAAGTGAGGCCAGTCAGAATTTTCTGCAGGTTGAGACAACAGATTGACCTTCAGAAAAGAGGTGGAATTGGGTTATTGTAGAGAATCTTGAGTCTGAGTCATTGGTCTCTTGGCTAACCTCTGCTCCTTGTGCACTTTTAATCTTTGTTCTGCCGAAGAAACCGACATACTTTGAATCAGTTTGAAACTTGAAGTCAGTGAGGAGAGGACCATCCCGTTTCTTTGCACCATTCTGTGTGGATTGGCTACCCGGTGAGCAACAGCCCCTTCCTGCTTCAGCGTGTCAGATAGCTCCTGCCCTTTCTGCCTGTCTCCCCTTCTCCCGGAGCTGGGTTCTTTGGTCTCTTGTTGTTGCTTCCTAGCAATGTTGGCCTTGCGTTCAACTATGGTTTTTCTTCATGTGCTTTATTGGTTTTTTAAAAAAAAAAAAAAAAAAAAGTACTTCCGGAGTGTGCTGACCATTGTATCGTACTGTACAGAGCCCAGGTTGTTAGAGTCCAGCAGAGATAAAGTGTGTTATGCAGCACCCAGTTTTTTAAGAGTATGGTTTGTGCCAATGCCCCTTCTTTAGTAGTGCCAGAGACTCTTTACAAGTGCCAATGTGGTGGAAATTATTTGGTTATACTTGTATATTATAGGATCCTGATTTAAGACAATTTAAACATTATCCTATTTAAAAAGATACTATATAAAATGCTGTTTTTAAACCTTGTCACTTGCAATGCATGTATTGTTGTGCGTGTTGGGGTGGGGGGAGGGAAGAGGGTAGGGTAAAGGAGTTTCTGAATAAGATGCCCAGTGTCAGGATCTATTCAGGCTCCAAACTGTCTCATTCCAGTCCAGGAGTGTGATTGTTTCTTGGAATGATCCCACTCTGACTGCTGGGCAACAACCCTTATTACAGAAATATCTGATGGAAATTGATTTTCATATCTTTCTCCTGAAATACATTCTCTGTTTGAAATTGGAATAAATTTTGTTCCTAAAAGCTGTGGTGGTCATGCATGCATTTCTTCATTCCTGTCCCTCCTCTCCCCCTCCTTCTGGTTGGCTTAACAACTTCTATACCCTGAGACCTGCATACGGTTGAGGCACAGTCTGCCCTCTTAGCTAATAGTGTTGCCCCTGCTCAGAAAATCAGGGCTCTGAGGCACAGAAGCAAAGTTTGTTTTGGTAAATATAAGGTCTAGTATTCAATAACTATATATAACATCTACTGTGCTAATAATTCTGAACTGAAGTGTGAACGGTCACTGACGAGGGTTTAAGATACAGGGAGGCAATGGTGGCACCTTGACTTAGGGTTTTACAGGATTTTGCAGTAGAGTTGCTAAGTGATGTTGTCAGTGTTTGCTGCTGCCTCTTGCCGTAGTGTCAGGCACATTTCTTGCAGGATATATGTTGCCAATAGCAGGTATGTTGGTGGGACCAGACCCGCTTCCAGTCTTGTTTGTTAGCAACATGGACTGAAATACGAAACACTGCTAAAATTTATCTCTGTAGGAGTCCAGGGATGGACAATTGTGAAAGCTTTCAAAAAAAGGATTTCCTGGGATGGGGTTCGTAGAATGTAATTCTCCTTCCCTTGGATCGTTCCCCAGGAATTTCGGATTAAGTTGGCCGGGAGTGGGTAGAGTTGTCTGACTTCCTCTGCGGAAGGTTTCCTGTGTTTTTGGGAAGCCGCAGTGGAGGATGTTCTGCTCCCTTCTGTGTCATTTAATGCGCAGGTGAAGCTGCAGGTACTGGACAGCCTGAGATGCTGTTTCATCTTGAACCAGGAAGATCACTCCAATCTGGCTGGCCATAATACTGGCAGGTATTTGTGTCGTTACTGTTTTCTGATTACAGGTGAATGTACATTGCTTTTCTCAGTAGTTCTGTGTTCTCACCGGCTGGAAAGCATGAAACTAGCTGAAAGAAGTGTGTTTGGTTTGTCGTTTATTTCCTTCAGCTCCATGGGGGTCATGTCATGCCATTCTTTGCAAAGAGAGTATAACACGCTCCGTTTAAATAAGGCGCAGTGACAGACTCTTCGAGGAGGAAAATAAAGTCTTAAAACTAATGCCCAGTGTTCCCAACTGACTGCGAGAGGGCCTTGTGTTCTGGCCTTTTGCAGCCTCCAGCCGTGGTATGTGTGCGCGCTGCCTGTGCCTGCTGCGGGTGTGCGGTGCGGGTGCTGTCTCTGAAGCGCTGCAGCTTCCTCGGCTGGTGCGCAGGAGGCTGGGTTGCTGCCTGTCTTGGAGTGGCCCAGGGAAAGCAGCAGCTGGGAGCAGCAGCCGATAGAACAATCCACGCAGCTTGCTCACAGTTGCTGTCTTTCCCAAGGGCCCCTCAAACATAGACTGAGCAAACCATTTCAGCAAGACAGCAAGCTCCTGGCCTCCCCTCAGCAGCTGGGGGTGAGCGGCGCTCTGCTCCTTCGTCCTGTGCGGGAAGTGCCCCATCCTGCAAGAAGTCTTGGGAACCCAGGAGTGACCATGGCATGGAGCGGCCTGCCGCTGCCTGGACAATTCCTTTTGCCTGCAGCCTGCTCTCAAGAGACCC